GTGGTCAGAGAGCAGCCCTGGGCGGTCTGGCAGAGGGTGCAATGGTCTGCGCTGGGTTCTGAGACAGCTGGGTCAGGGGTCTGGCTTCTGGAGAATAGACTGGAGACGGAAAGACAGGGCCAAGGGTGGGAAGGGGCAGCACCTCGGAGGAGGCCGCAAGCGCCCAGGCAGGGGTACAGCGGCCCAAGTGAGCAGTGGCAGCGGCTGTGCACATGAACAGCAAGGAGCTAAAGGCATACGCTTGGGCGCCCCAGGCTTCCTGAGAGCACGCCGCTTGGGTGCACACTGCTGCATTCTCAGGTGGGAAGAAACAAGGGAGAAGCTGCATGAAAGATGTCTCCTAGATGCTTGAACCTGTGCAGCTGGATGGGCCGAGGGGCCCCTGACCAGATGGGCAGACTGGGACGGGGCAAGCTGGAGACAGCAAGGGAGGCTCCCCGCTACACGAGGCGTGTGAGAGGCACCATGCGGAGAGGGTGGGAGGAGCCAGGCCTGGAGCCCCGCTGGGCAGGCAGGCGCCCTGGGGACCTGTTCAGTCACAGCAGTCGCCCTGGGCTGACACCGGGTCTTCGGCTCCAGAACCATCTGCCTCCCTCTGTCTCCCAGCGGAGGTTGGGGTGGCCCAGAAGTGTCCCCAGCAGCACATGCAGGAGGGGGCCGTGGGGCTGTGCTCACTCATGGCTTCCCCCGTCAGCACACTCGCCCGAGGAGTGGGGAAGGGTGACTCCTGTCCCCGCCCCTCCCCTCTCTGCTTCCTGGCCACCGCCGGTGTACACCTCCCTCCCCACGCTGTTTCCGCCTTGGAGCCACTAGCCAGGGGCTGAACCCCTGAGCTAAAACAAACCTCCCCTCCTTTAAACTGTGGGTTCTCTAGTATTTTGCCCATTACGGGAACCTGTGTTACACTCTGGTTCAAGTATCTAGTGTTGGGCATGGCAGCGCACACCTGTAATCCCAGCACTCAGGAGGCTGAGTCAGGAGGATCGCTGGGCGTTCAAGGCCAGTCTGGGCTACAAAGTGAGTTCCTAAAGAAGGCCTGATCTCCATAGCGAAATCCTGTCTCAAAAAGGCAAAACAGGGCCAGGGATACAGCTCAACAGCACAAATGCCTGCCTGGCAAGTGCAAGGTCCTGAGTCTGATTCCCGGTACAAAAAAAAAAAAGGCAAAACAATAATTGCCTCGCTACAGGAGAGTAACTATGACACCACATTAAATGCAGGGCTGGCCCTGGAGCAAGCGTGAAAGAGGAAGCAGCCGTTCCCCGCCCCCCCACGCAGGGGCACGGGCTACTCGAAGGGCAGTTGGGCTGCCCCCCTCCCCACCTCTCTCGTCTACAAGATCAGGGCTCATGCTGCCAGCCCCCTCACAGCTACCGCCCTACACACCGGCACAAGCTCACCATGTCAGGCTGGCTCCAGGCACAACCCACCTCCAGGAGGGCAGGGCCTCCTTCCCCTCTGGGACCAGGCCTGGGCCCAGCCCGCCTCTGTGGGGAGGGGACAGGGCAGGGAGGGCAGAAGAATGGGCCTACCCGAGGTGCTCTCGTCCCTCTCGTCGTGCCCACTGCAGCATCCAGCCTGGAGCCGGCCCTCACTCCACTGTGGACAAGCAATCGCCCACCACCCCCACGGCCCTGGGCAGGCTGCCCATCACCTTCCCCCATCAGTCCCACCTGTTCCGGAGTCCACCAGGCTGGGGCACCCACAGGAAACGTGGGGGCAGGGGGCACAAAGGCCAGGGTAAAGTCAGGCCTTGGCAAAAGGCAGGTAGGTGCCCACATCAGGGACAGCAGTGAGGAGGGAGTGGCCACAGTAGCACTGGCATCTGGGACCTTTTAAACTGGGTTCGGGGCTGGGGAGGAACCCTTAGCTCAGCAGCACAGCGCCTGCCTGGCAAGCGCAACGTAGTGAGTTCAATTCCTGGTACCGGCAGAAAAACAAAAACAAAAACAAAGAAAAAAAACTGGGTTGGTTGGCCTGACTTTGAGCCCCTGCCTGTGTGGTACCTAACAACTCACAGACCTCTGGCCTCAGTTTACAAACCTCACGTGAGCCAGACCACATGGAACATGGGAGCCTGGCCCGGCACAGTCGGTGCTCCACAGGAGGGAGGGGACCCTGGCCTGAAAGCTCCTCCCTCTTTCCAAGGCACAGAGGGCACACACTGGGGCAAACCTGCAGCTCCAAAAGGGTCCAGGCAGCCGAGTTCACCTGGGCTCTCAGGCCGTGCAGAAGGCGCCCTTGCCCCAGTTAGCCTGGTCTGGAGGCGAGACAGAAAGGCCTGAGCTCACTGAGCTCGCAATAAGGGCAGTGTGGTCCCCAGTTGCCCACCTCCGCCCCCAGGGACCATGCAGCAGGGCAAGGCTACCGGCCCCCTCTCTGGAGGGCAACTGTGCCTCAGCCCCAGACACCCCAGCCCCCAGCCCTCCTGGGATCAGAGCTGGGCTCCCGGCTCACAGTGGGGTCAGGGAAGGGTCAGGGTCGGTGTGGGGATGGGATTGGGGCTTGGTTAGGGTTTGGGTTGGACTTGGGGTTTGATCGGGGTTGAATCTGAGGCTGGGATTACAATTGGGGTTGTGGCTGCAGCTGGGGTTAGGGCTGGAGCTGGGGCTGGAGTTAGGGTCTAGGGTTAGGTTGGAGTAAGGACACCATCTCTGGAGGAACGTGTTCCAGGCTCCAGCACAGACTCGGCTCTGGTGAAAGGACAGCTGCTAAGGGCCCCTGCTTGCCTGTACCCCACCCTGGGGCCTCCACCTTGGTGAGGTTGCATGGAATTGGGAGCCCTAGGGGAGAAAGCAAATTTCCAGGGTCCAGGGCAGGGGACACCGCCTCAGTCCAGCTGCTTCTGCAACCCACTGCAGACCCAGGACTCCACCAGCACAGGCAGAGGAGCTCTGGGGACCTAGAACCCCAGTTTCACAAGGACTGGTGGGGCTGGGGACCATGAGGATGCCATGGCCAAGCACCACCACCAGGCTGCACTGCCAGCGGGTGACCTGGCCCGAGCCCTGTCCCCTACAGGGACATCATCCTTGCCATCCGGGCCCAGAGGACACACAGACCCACCCACTGGTGAAGACCGAGGCTAAAAGATGCCAGGGCACTGCCTTGGTGGGTGGAGGGGACCCCCGGCCCCAGGGGCCGCTCAGCAGTGGAGTCTGCGTAGACCACAGCTTCTCCTTCCCCGGGGAGAAAGGTGAGGCCAGAGTTGAGGCCAATGGGGCTCAGGCCACAGACCTCCCACAGGCCTCACGTGGTACCCTTGCTCCTGGGGGGTGGGACAGGTTCCTCTTGGCCCTCAGCCCAGGGACAGCAGTTCCTGACTTGGATTGGAGCTCAGGGCAAGGAGCTGCCCCAGGAGGGCTCAGAGGGCACCCCAAAGGCTCACTGCTCTTTCTCCCTCCCTCCCCCGAGTGGGCCAGACTTCTTTCCCCTGTTCTTCGGGTAAAGGACAGGGCTTCACACGGAGCCACATCCCCAGACGTTTTTATTTCTCATTTTGAGACAGGGTCTCACTCAGTTCATTAATTTTCCAGGCTGGGCTGGAAATTGCAGTCCTCCTGCCTCAGCCTTCCTGAGTGCTGGGATGACAGAGCGCAGGTTCCTGGACTCCTGAAACCTCAGCCTGTAGGCTTGGCCAGGTCTCCACCCAAGAGGGCTCAGGCACCAAGCGTCCACCTGCCGTCCGTGCCCCGTGAGGTGGGCACAAACCTCACAGAGCCCAGATACTCGGGCACAGAGTTGGCAGGGGCACAGCCCTCCTCCTCGGTGAGCACCACCTGCAGCGGTGCCCCTGCCGCCCTCTGATGCGGAAACCGGGGCCCAGATGGAGGGTGATTCTCCCCGCGGCCTGGGGTGGGCCAGGTCCGTCCCCACCCATACGGCGGCCAAGCGGGGACCACGCGCACCGCGCCGACCAGCAGCGTTCGTGCAGCACTAGGCGCTAAAATAAGCCGCTTGCAGCCTTGGCTAAATCGGGCGCGTGCGCGGGGGCGGCGAGCCAGCCGGCGCGGGAGCCTCTACCTGCCCCCGCCCTGCCCTGCCTCAGCTTCCCCAAATCCAGGCAGGAAGTAAGGAGGGTACTCAGAGGGGTGGGAGGATAGGACATCCCCATTCCTCCGCTTCGGTAGCTGAGGTGCTGGGTGCGGGGCGCTGGGCCCCTTCCCCCACGAGTGAGCTGTTCTTATTCCGGGGGCGCAGGCGAGAGGGAGCTGGGGGCGCCAGGGGCCGCCAACCCAGACCCGCAGCCCGAGCCGCGAGGGCGACGACCGGATGGGCCCCCACCCCAACCGACCCCCGAGGAGGTGCCTGCGTCCCACCCCCGGGGCGGCGGGCTGGGCCG